TAGATAGATAGATAGATAGATAGATAGATAGATAGATAGATAGATAGATAGATAGATAGATAGATAGATAGATAGATAGATAGATAGATAGATAGATAGATAGATAGATAGATAGATAGATAGATAGATAGATAGATAGATAAATAGATAGATAGATAGATAAATAGATAGATAGATAGATAGATAGATAGATAGACAGTGCTTCTGCAGTAAACAGTAAATTATATTACGCAATGCTGTAAATCCTCAAATCAGAGAATATGGTAGGTCGTTTGCAACTTGCCTCAGTCGCTGGCTATAAATCAAAGTCTGTCGAAGTATTTAGCGTAATGTTGACATGATTTTAGTTAGTGACCATTCTGCATTTCAGTATTTGTACAGAGGTTAGTTTGTACAGAATTTGTCTATTTAACTCTATATAAAAATATCGCACTATAGCCACTAGCTAGCTAGAAACAACGAAAATGCAGAATAGGCAGTAACTTACACCAGGCAAACACTACACGATATATTTCAACAGACCGTGTTCTGCAACCAGCAATCGAGGCAAATTGCAAACGACTACCAATATTCTCTGATTTTTCGATTTAATTAAAGCATCGCGTAATATAATTTACTGTTTACTATTGAAGCCATATTTCAACGGGTTATGTATTAATGATATGTAAAGTTAGTAAGGAAGTAGAATAATTATGCCCGTGATTTCTGGCCATGATTTTTGCGCTATAAGTAGTTAACATTAATGACTTTTTTATACAACCAACAAAGATTTACATATACGCTAAATATTATTAATCTGTATAGATTGTTTGCAGCAGCTGCACTTCCATATTTCAAAGGTAGCGGCTGAAAGGGTTGCTAGACAAGAAGAGTAGCTACTACGAGCTGAAAAGAACTAGATTTTGATTTTAACCAGACATAGTACTAAAATGCCGTGCCCAAAAACTTCCGGCGCTTCCGCCTACAAGTAAAGTTATATTTAGTACGCTACATTCTCCTGTAGGCCGCCAGTTGGTCCGCCAGGTTAGGATTAAAACTGCGCTTGATTAAAAAAACTTTCAACTTTGGGCTCAAAATACTATAAAAATGAAGCGAAAAGTGAGAAGAATCCACTGGTGTACGCTCGAAAACGTGAAAACCAATGATACCAAAGCTATGAAGGATCAAATGGACTGCATTTTAAATTAATTTTGAGCGATTTGTAAACAGTACAATTTCGCCTGACTTTCAAATGCCATAAATCGCTAGAAAAATGTTGTTTAGTATTACATTTGACATCGTTAACTGCAATATCTTACACTGAATCGAACGGTATTATTTTAATTTTTTCCTTATTGGGCGCACAAAACCAGAGATAAGACGCAGCAAAAAGTCAATCGTGAGAGTGCGAGATTAATTGGAAAGAAAACTTTCCTCAAAAAAAGGAATTCAGAAAACATGAAAGGATTATTTTGAGCGGCTTGTCTTTCAAATGCCATGAATCGCTGGAATTGAACTCAATTTTGAAATCAATTTTCCATCCATAAATACAACTTTTTACGCTGATTCGAACATACGCTGATTCCTATTTTTGTCCCTGTTTAACGCATAAAACCAGAGATAAAGCCCAGCAAATAGTCTGTCCTGAAAGTCCAAGATTAATGAATTTTCCGGCAAAAATGAATAAATTCCAGTGAACTCTAAGAGAACTGGAATGATAACTTGGTCGCTATCTTTGAAGCCTCTCATGATGGCCGCCATGTAGGTATGGAGTGGAAAATACGCTACCAAATAGATGTCTGTTTTCGACCACTAAATAGCTGTATTTCAACTAGGAAAAAAGCTAAAACTTTCAACAATACCCGAAATTTAATACAAAACATGTTTCCAGAACGTAGATTTAAAATACTTAGAACTATCTGAAAAGTGTGCCACCTAGTGAAAAATGTCTTTTTTCTGCGTATTTTTGCTTAAAAACAAAGTTTCGCGTCAATTTAACTCTCCCCAGGCCTTTTTTAAAAGTCAGAGTGTAAACAAAAAAATTTAACTTGGTTTTAAAAACTAATCATGCCCGTTGCTTGTGTAATAGTTAGTTGTTACAACACGGCGAAACAAATACAAAAAGGGTAAAAAAAACCCAACCAAAGTGACAAAAACAAAGGTCGCATTTCACATGTGAGGATTTTCTAGTTATATTGTAAGAAAAATACAATTTTCACTTTAAAAATACATATAATATAAATACACACACAAAATAAATATACTTCAAAATAACAAATTTACACTAATTTGTAATTATTAACTGGCAGAAAGACTGATTAACCCTTTAAGTTGCATTGCAATCTCATTGTACTGTACATTATTATTTTACACTGATACTAGACAATTTTACTCATTGATGGGAGAGTGCTGGCACTCCATACGTACAGCAAGTTAACCCATTCACTGGCAGGACCCTACCACTGACAAGTAAAATCGTCTGGCGTACGTAGACAGAGTAAATACGCGTCGGTTAAGCAATGAAAAGACTCACATAAATTTAGACCAATCACAAACAGAGTTCAAATATTGAACTCACCAAAGTGAGGCTGGATGCTCGTGTGACCAGAGCCTCCTCGTCGTGTCCCTTCTATCATAACAACAAACGTCAATTTTTCATACTGGCAAAACGTTCGATTACTCGTTCTACATCAATTGGTTCGGTATCGTAGATGTACATCATGGCCAAAGAATTCAAACGACCTTCAGTTGTTCGATTACGCAAATATGTCTTGAGAAGCCGTACAGACGAAAAACTGCGCTCAACGTTGCTGTTGATATGGGCAAGATGCTGGCAATAGTTAAACGGGCGTAAATGCTTGGAAAAACATTGGGATCGCAAAATGATAACGTTGCTATGTGATCAGTTGATGAATCAGTTGAACTGGAAAATTCTCTCTTCCATTTAGCAACCCACAATCGGTAATGCACTAAGGCATTCATGCCACCAGTATCATGAGGCATAACATTGTTAGCATGAAGAAATTGAGAATAGTTTCCATAAAACTGAAAGAACTCTTCTTCTACTACACCATACTTTGCACAGTTAGTTCGAAGCAGCGTATCAAACAACCCAGCAAACGTAGTTTTCTCATTAAATCGAAATCGCAATTGTTCAAGAATTGTATCCAAAAATGGGATATACACTGCTACGCGGAAATAATCAAGTCCGTGAATAGAATCATCAATATCTGAAACATCTTGGTTATCTCAATACACTGATCTTTGACAAACTCTTGGACACTCTACTTTGCATGATTTTGAGGCATGTTACTGTGTCGAGAATCAATTTTACTTTAATTAATTTTGAAGTAAGTACATATATTTAGCAATAAATATTTCCAAAGGAGGGGGGGGGGAGCCGCGGCTCCCACGACTTCCCCCCCCCCTGGCTACGTCCCTGATTCTGTACCCTTCTATCTGAAATTGGCAAATTAGATAATACTGCATGCACACGTACATTGACACAGCTCATAACTTCTGGACATGTATCGGATAAGCAGTTGCGTGACAAAGTATCGGCACAGGAATCAATTTATCAGGAACATACACTAAATGTACATCGTATTTCTGTATTTTAACAAACATCCTCTGTATTCTGGGAGGAGCAGCATGCAATGGTTTCTTACTGATAGGAATGAGTGGTTTGTGATCAGTCTCCACTCGTATTCTTCGCCCATAAATATAATGATGAAATTTTTTACACCCAAATCTTTCACCCGCCTTTTCTATTTGTGCATAATTAATTTCAGTTTGTGCAAGTGACTTAGATGCACATGCAATGGGTAACATGTTTATGCTGGGCATAATATACTAGTACAGGACTATCAGTCATAATACTCTTGATTTTCTCAAATGCATCTACTTGAAGCTGATTCCATTGTAATTCATTGGCATGCTGTGTAAGTAGCCTATGCAGGTTGTTGGTCACGTCAGATAGATTTGGTGCAAACCTTAGACAAATATGTGACCATACCTAAAAAGGTTTCAAGCTCGTTTTTAACTGTGGGTAACTTCATGGACTGTACTGTCATGACCTTCTCGGTGTCTGGTTTTAATCCCTTATCAGTCAAGAGATGACCAAAATATTTCACCTCTGTAATTCCTACTTCCAATTTATCCTTATTGAACTTAATCCCTTTTTCTTTGGCTCGGATCAGAAGCTCATGTAATCTCTGATAATGTTCTTGCCTAGTCTTACCATGAATAATAATATCATCTGCTATCGAAACCATCCCTTCTAGACATTCTAGACTCCGATCAAGTTTGTTTTGAAACTCATGTTGAGATGATTTTAATTAAACCAAAAGGCCATCTTAAATATCTATACCTACCAAAAGGGGTGTTAAATGTAGTAAGGATGACCGATAAGTAAGCTCACAAGTCCACTAGCCTGACTTAGCATCCAACTTTGTGAAAAACTTTGCATTTACTAACTCAGGTAAGATTTCTTCCAATGTTCTGGATGTGTAATGAGGCCTAAGAATTGCAACATTTAGATCTCCTGGATCTAGACAAATTCTCAATTTACCTGAATCTGGTTTCTGTATTATAACCAATGAACTAACCCATGCAGTAGGTTCTGTAACCTTTTTAGTAATTCCAAGGGATTCCATCCTCTCTAGCTCTTCCTTCAATCGACCTTTTAAGGCTACTGGGACTCTGCGGGGAGGATGTACAACTGGGGGCACGGTAGGGTCAGTTTGAATACTACATTTCCCTTCGAATAACCCTATACCATCGAAAATATCCTTATACTGTTCTAAGATTGACTCCCTTGTTGATGGTTTGTGTTGGAGATTTGTCTAAGTACATGTATGAATGTATGTTAGCTTAACCAATCCCATGTCGATGCAAGGTCTTATGCCTAATATAGGAGGAGACCGGGTGTCTACTACATGGAATGCAAGTGTACTCTCATTTGTATACTTACCTTTTTGGTGCATACACTTAAGTGGCAACACCTTAGCGATTCTAAGCAACTATTGGATGAGGTTGAGTATGATATCAAGAATTATTCAGACCGAGGTCAATGTTATCTGCCGAAGCGAAGCTGAGGCGGATAACATAGACCGAGGTCTGAATAATTCTTGATATCATGCGAAAGCAGAATCCAATAATTGTTTTATTATACATTTAAAGACATGAGAAACGTATAAAACGCTTCCTGTTCATGAGGTAGGAAAAGTACAATTTGAATATCAAACGCCTTGCACAAAGTCAAAGGTCAGCTAAATATTCTATTTCTACTTCTATTTACCCCTTTGTGGCTTTTTTCGTGCTTTCACTATCCTTATCTGCCAATAATTCGGAGAGTTCACTTTCATTCAGCGAAGCAAATCTGCTGTCGGCCATTGTTTGCAAGGGTTTGGGCACGAGAGAGTCCAATAATTTTTTTTTTGATGCAAGTTTGATCCAAAAAAACAAAAATTGGACGCTGATGACGTCATCGTCGAAAAATACGTAATAAATACCGAATACTGAAAATTAGCCGGTGCTTTCTGACCAATTAGAAACGAGAATACATATTAAATGTATAATAATAACCTATTATTGTTATATGCTGACAGTGTTTCATTGGGGCGGTCAAGGGATTCTCCACACACACCCAAGGATTTATAAATAGATTTGGGTAAAATATTAACCTGTGACTCTGTATCTAATTTAAACTTAACTGATTTCTGCTTAGACCCTACTAAGAATGGGCAAAAGGCTTGATTATCAGAGGGGCTATTTGTATCACACTGTATACAATCTATAACAAACTCTTCATCTAATTGTAGTTAATTTTCGTAGTGACACACTACATCATGCACATTATTCACACTTTTAGAAAGGTATTTATTTGCAAAATGATTATATTTATTGCATTTATTACATTGTTTCCCTTGTGCAAGGCACTTATCTGTCTTGGAGTGTTTTCTGCCACATTTTGAGCATTCTTGATTGCTTGGATCTCTTCTTTTCCGATCCAATCTCCTTCTTTCGTCTTGATTCTCTCTTACATCATCTTTATCCTCATATCCAATTATTTGTTGATTGCGGTATGATTGTCCTTGTCGATTAGAGTTTCTTCTGTTTATTCCATGTACCTCCTGCTGAAACATGGTCTTCAACTGTTGCTGTGAATACTCGTGCGTTTGGGCTATCTGAAACGCTTTGTCGAGGGTGAGTTTGTCCTTTCATTGATAAGTTTTTCTCTGACTCTTTCAGACGATGTCCCGAACACTATACGGTCACGTATCATTTCGTCACTGGATTTGTATACTCGCAGTCCTTCACTAAAGTTCGTAGTTTAGTTATAAACTGTTTGATTGTTCCAGCTACCTGAGTCTCCATATTGAATTTATATCGAACGAAAATTGGGTTAAGCCTCGGCTGAACATGTGCATGATATCGGTCGTAATACGTTTCAAGTTTCTTCCTGGCCGTCGCTTGTTCTGAACCACTGCCGTCTAAATCTGTCCATGTTTCACGAATTTCTCGGCCTTTATCGCCTATACAAAGCAACAGACAGTTAACCTTTACTTCTTCGGATTTCTCTTTGAGAGGCCCGTCAAATATCAGCTCAACATGACTTTTGAATTTTCGCCATTGCTCGGGCAAGTTTGTTGATTCCCAGTCAAATTTTGGCATTGGGATTCCAGATAAATCCATATTCAGATCTCCTATCCCACTCCTGACACCATGTATTATTTCTTTGTTTCTTGTTAAGCTCAGGATAGAACAACAACACGCTTAGGCCAGTATCTTTATTGCAAGTACGAACTCACATAAAATGGCCGCCTTATATACAATTTATATGGCATAATAAATTACATATTTTAGCATATTATTACAGTTTTATCTAAACATGTTGACAATTTCAATTTTCATTCCGGTTTGATTTCATCCCGGTCTCATATAAACGGGGCCTAAGGAAGTTATTTTATTGGAGATTTTAGCTGTAATTGGTCTCTATTGAATTATTGTAAGGACAATGATGAGACAAAAAAACGTGCTGAAATTACAATAACAATTCAATTGGAGCAAATGATTAATTAAATTAATGAACCAACATGAATTTCACTGACTGAACTAAAACATTAATAGATTTAGCATTCAGAAATAAACCAGAATTAAGTAATGGATCTAGAGTTATGCACCTGGGAATTAGTGCCCTTAGCTAAGTTATATTCAAAGGAAAATTTCCATTTCCCGAAAAGAACCAAAAATGATCAAAACAAGACAATATAAATACTATTACACCAATGACTTCAAATCGGATATCTCGACATATTTGCATGATTAAATATTTTTGCACTATGCTGAACACAAGAGTGCGTAAAGACAATTTAATTTAATTTTCAATTACCATGCGCATGAAATCCTGTGCTTAACAGCAAATAGGATAACTTGAAACTGCATGCAAATAATGGATGATCCCAGCCATAGACTACATTTTGATCTAAGCAAGAAGAACGAAATCCATCACCACACCTAGAAAGAGCATGTTAAAATTAGTAACAATTGCAAAGTTTGGCCGCGAAATCTTGTAAAATGAGGAGAATATAGCCCTGCGAAATTTGCAAATTTTGTATTAATTTGTACGCAAAATGCACCACATTTGGGCCGAAAATGGTGCATTTTCCCGTGCATAATATAAATTAATAGAAAATTTGCAAATTTCGCAGGGCTATATTTTCCGCATTTTACAACTACATTTCGTTGCCAAACTTTGCGATGGATTTTGTTCTACTTGCCTAGTTCAAAATTTGCGCTGTTCTCATTCTCGAAGTCTTTGGGAACGTCTGATTGGTTGACGGATTTCGGTTGATGGATTGTTATTGGTTGCCATGGAGTGCGGATGATTACTATCATCGCGAGTTGATGTTGAGAAGGACGCGGGTGGGTTAACATCAGCCTAGACCTAGTTCTTTACTCGGCTGGCTTTGGCAGGTGTCTTTGGCAGGTTTGGTCAATTTCGGACTAACATTTGGTAAACATTGCAATGGCCATTTGCCTTGTAAAAGCTCGTAGTCCATTTCACAAGTTCTCAAATTAGCGCTTAACTTCTTGATCAGAAACCAACAACTAAAGCAATTTATACCATCCAGCAGTTATTACATTAACTATAAAAACAAACTAACCTTTTATTAGTATAGAGCTAATCTATTATTTAAGAAATAGAAAACGAGTTGCGTCCGTTTATGGTGTGATAATGCACGCGGGAAATGTTGGGAGAATGCGAGTGAAGCGTGTGAAACACGAGGAGTAGCCGAGTGTTTTACACGCTTCTCGAGTATTCTCCAAACATTCCCCAAGTGCATTATCGCACTATAAACGCACGCGACTCGTTTTCTATTACATTTATTATTAGATATTACATATAAACAATTTTACTCAAAAGATCGACTTTGAAATTCTCCTAACATGTACTCAGTGACGTCACGTGCATGCTTTTACTGTCGCTTGAATTTTGCAGCGAGCGAAGGAGCAAAATTGTCAAAACAATTTTCAAACTTTTGATGCTATAAAGCCGGAAGAATTGTTTAATAATATAAAATGGTGGAAATAAAAAAAAAGTGACACACAGACTAATTTGCCAAATTTTTCCGCATCTGGGCTGCTGGATTTGGCATGAAAGACGATAAATTGTAGGTTTCGTCGTGTTTATGCTCAGTTTAAATTTTCGAAATTATTGTATTTTTGTCTTTCGCCGAAAATATATCTAGTAGATATTATCATTTTGATTTTGATTTGATTTGAGAATTGAAGGTACTCTCTAAATCACTTATATTCATTTTTTTTGCCTTTTTGTATGTATTTGGTCTTCCTGTATCTTTTTCAAGTTTTTTTCTCGACTATTTTGTATATACGCTTTTACCCAAAACATGTCGAGACAACAACAAATTCGACGAATGCCAAGCAGGTTAATTTTACACGTCGGAACTGTAGAAAGTTGCTTTGTTCCTTTGGTCTATTCCTTCTTGCTTTCTGGTACGTAAATTTTGTACTATAAAGCTCTATAGTTTTGTTTATGTTCTTGGTTAAAAAGCAGTGATGAAGAGGAAAAACAGCGAAAGAGCAAGGCAGTGCCACAGCCCACAGATCACAGTGCATTATTGCGTCACAATGCACGCGCATTAGCCAATCAAATCGTCTGTTATATCACACTTATATTATAATAGTTTATAATTGTCGCGTTATTATAAAATTGTATTAAACATCTTTAAAGTTCCAACAATTTTGTACACTGATTTATACTCGAAATAATTATTTTATTCGCAAGGGTGACAATCTACTGTTTTGCTTTGAATAACTATATTTGCGAATCTGGAATGAGGGCCGGCTGCTTCTTGCCAAAATTGAGATCGAAAATTTATATTAATTTAGTTGTGTATATTAAAGACAAAATTTCCTGAAAAATTCTACTTGTGGTATATATTTTGACTCATTTTGTGTCTTCGCTACACCTTGTCAGCATTAATAGTGTTGCTTCAAACTTTATGATAAAAATAGTAAGTTCATACTATAAATGAGTTTATTTTACCTGTATCAAGTTTAAATTCGTTGTTAAGTTGCAGATAATTCAGTATATTTGAGTAGGCAATAATTGGGCATATCCAAGTGGGGCAAATTCGGGGCAGTTTTTGGCACTTGGATTGGGAAATCTGCTAGGCCTTCTATTTCTTCGCTAGCGCCCTTCTTCCGCCCCGCCCCCAAATCACCTAGTCCCAGTCTTCTCATGTGAAAAAGCGCTGAATATTAAAAAATAATAAAAATAGAAGGCCTAGGTCTAGGCAGGGTTAACATGTAGCTATATCCGTTCATTTCATGAAATTTTTGCTAAATATAGATTGCTTGGGTGCTTATAATGTAGTGATAAACAAATATATTTCGTGAAAATAAATTTTCCAAAGCAGTAGTAGTCTTTTTCAGCCGCTTCAAAAATAGCTTCCGTGAGAAATTTAAAGTTTAATTTAAAGTGCATTTTGATGGGCGAAAAATTTTCATCAATGGTCCAAATATCAGAAAATTTACTTAATTTTGAGTCCTTTAAATAGCTGTTGAAACTTTCATTTTTTGGCACCAATCTATCAGTTTCTGATAATCTTAAAGCGATATGCTTGGAAATAAAAAGAGCAAATGGCAAGCCATTTTTCGTTATTAGTTGGTATATTGACCAGCAACTTATCCGGATGAGATTTTTGATAAATTTGAAACAGTGATTCGAAATTTGAGACGAAAGGCAAACGAATATCAGGGCACGCAGTAATTGCATGCAATTACCCTGTTGCGGATCCCCTAGCCACTATGTGATATGTACAAGGCGAATTAAATAAATAAATAAATAGAATAAATAAATAAATATCATATATAGTGGGCGACTTGTTATACATGCTAAAAAAAATGTCCATAGTCAACAACTTATGGATATCTTGGACATCCGTCAGCCAGAACTAATTATAGCAGAGCCAACGCGTATCACAACTGACATGGCATTATTAGTTGATGTATTTATCACAAACAGCCCGCAAGAAGTAAAACCTAGTGGAGTGATTCGTGTATTGGCATTATCGCCCACGCCCATCACGCATGCTTAATTTCTGCGTTTACTTAATTTGCATATTGTTATTTTACTTTTTTTTGCAATAACAATATGCAAATTAGGAAAATTCAGCAATTAAGCATGCATGATAGCCAGAAAATAAATCTTGTCTGTTTTAATATGCATAACCTCTCCACCACCTGCAGGGTTTCAATCGATCCGGAAAGTATTGTAGCCATCTATCTTAACAAAGCCATCATCTATAGTTTCACTTAATCTAGTTTGAATTCGTTAGTATACTTAGAATATAGCAAGGCTAGTCCAAAAAGTTCATTCTTAATTGACCAATATGTTTTATTAAACTTGCAATATTTATTTTTAAGTGCATTATCGAGAAGCCTTTTAAATCTAGTTTATTCACAACTTGACTATAGTGACTGTGGCTGTGTGTTCCTATCGGATTGTCATGCATATTGTTTCCTCCCAACTGCCCAGAAAAATAAGAAAATCAAACAAGTTATGCCGAATTAACCCAATTAATAGCCACATGCGTGCATTAATCAGATGTGAAAATACACTTATTCACTCATTTGTTTCAAATAACAACTTAATTCAAGGTTAATACCGCGTCGGTACTGCGCGATCTCACTGCATGCGCAGTTATTTTTGTAGCAAAAATTACCACGCGTCTATGTGGACAAACGGGCTCGACTGACTGCCGAGATCTCGCTTTAATGAGGTCAGATCTCGTTTACAGGGATGAAAGTTCAAAGATGCCGCCGAGAGCTATTTTTAGCAACTGTCAAAACAACAAAACTGTCCCGGCAAGCGTGATGAAATGGTCCCATATAAATACATGTCTTTTTTATTGAGAGATCCATCCCGCTTCTCAGGTTATACCTCTATCTAAGCCGCGGTCCAGCTCGACTT